GGATTATTGATATATTTTTAATATAATAATAATAATAATAATAATAATAATAATAATAATAATAATAATAATAATAATAATAATAATAATAATTTAACAATAATCATAACAATGATATAATGATAAAATTATGATTATAATGATAGTATTACTTATTGTCAATGTCTATACGAAAGAAAATGGAACGAAGAACGTAACGTTTAAACTTCCGGCCGCTCTATTCGGAAATAGCATTAAAAAAATTTGCGCATATATTTTTTTCTTAAAGTAACTTTTATTCCTTGTCTCTTAGTCCATATCTTTCGCTAGGCAAAAGTAAAAAATTTCTCGAGTCAAATATCAAAGAAAATTGCATTTGATTTCGATTATCGACTCCCTCTCTTTTCCATATTCGTTGCCTACCTTTGTGTATTATCGTTCGTCCATTCGATGCCAATAATTGTGTCATTATGTCTATAGAGAAATTATTATAGAAAAATATTGATGAGATTAATCTTTAATCGAACCATCGAGGAAATCGAGGAAAAAGAATTCCTATTGTTACACCGTCCTCCCGTGATTATTTATCATCAAAATTAAAATACAGAGAAAATACAGACGGATATAGCAAATTGTCGTATCATAACTCGTATCGTATTCCCGATTCCATTTATACGTTTTTTTTTCTGTTCATTCGTTTTCCGCCCCCGCCCCTTTCCCTTTTTTTAGCTTATATTCATTCCCATGAATAATTGTGAATTTGCTCATATGATTGGATTCGAAGTTTGAAAGTTTGGATCGTTCTCTCAAAAACGACACACACACGTAGCGATCGGTACGTTCGTAACTCTCGACTTTCATTATTCATCCAGTTATAACGATTATTACTGATTCTGAATTATTCATCAATACGAGTCATGTTAGTAACCACTTTTATTCGACCATTCGATCGCTTATAAATCCCTTGTACGAAACCATTAGTCGATGTAAGTTTTCTTTTCTATTTACTGACCTATTTAAAATACAAAAAGACAATTAGAATATATGACAGGATTATTGAATTTTATTCGACTATCGACTATCTCTTTAATCGAATTGCTTAAAGTCAAAGGAACGAACTAACGAGTCCTGTAATTTTAAAATCAAATTCGTTCAAATGAATTTGAAAATCGATCGAACTATTCCGGTTTTTCGTCTGTTACCAATCAATTTTTGTTTGTTTTGTTTTTACTTCTTTTTTTGTTTCTTAATTCGTCAAATTACTACTGCAAAATACAGAGGCATTTGTTACAATAATTGTATTTCGATTTTTGATACTAATGAGGTTGGAAGTTATAATTGATTGTGGGTCCTCGTTCAATCGATTTTAGTTTATTCCCCAAAGCTAATATTGTTAAAGTTTTTCTTACGACAGTCGGAACATATTGTACCTATTTACCAAAGTTCGTCGACGTTAAGAAATACTATTGACAATAAACTAGAAACAAGAAAAACTTTATATCATATCTTATCTTGTATTATTGGCTGTGATTTTTCTTTTATAGATTTAACAATTTTTGTTTCTCTTGACATTTCCAGAATTTTATCAATTATAATAGCAATTAATTTTAAACTGCTTTTTTTTTGGATCACTATTTTTAAACATATGATCAATATTAATTTTATCTCTATTTACATGATTTTTTTCAATTATTGTTGTTTTTTCTTCTTTCTTTTTCTTCTCTATATATCAATCTAGTATATACCAATACAGAATTCTTTGATAGAACATTCATTTTAATATTTAGATCATTTAAAAACTTATATTTCAATATTATCCGTATTTAGATTAATATCTTGTATTATTACAGATGACAGAAGAAAAAAAATACTATTTTTCATTCAATAAGAATAATCTATGCTATAATTACTATTGATCTTTTTGAATTTATCGTTGAAATTAATCATATATATTTATCGTAAATCTTGCTCATTAGGATATCTTGATTAAAATAAATTTCATATCGGACAATCTATTTCAAATTTAATTAATCATATTGATTAGCGTATTTTGAAATTAATTATCATACTTATCCTTTACATTATATTCTATTAGCTCCATTAGTGCTTATTTAAAAGAGCAGCATCTCATCGACAATCAATATGACGGACAATACACAACAGACACATACAAATTTCAACAAAGAATATATAATATAATAAATTATATTATATATTGTTCGATAAATTAAATCAAGTATTGAAATATTTCAAAAAGAAATAGATCATTTATAATACTCGAAGCTATCGGATAATTAATTCATATAATTATCTATTTTTTTGATCTACGAAAAGTAAAATCTTAGATAAAATTAATAATTGCAAAACTTCTCTTTGGACTAACAACTGTAATATCCTAGATCATAAATCTGTTTCTTTATTTTATGTCAAACGTAATACAACACGTTGTATGCAGAACAATACGCTCATAGTCGCAATGTAATCGGTCCCGACTTTCCCAAGGGAAAATGCTAATTGTTTAATGAAATGTACCGTATGTGTGCATATATATACAGATGTGTGTGTATCTATGTATATATATATATATATATATATATATATATATATGTATAGCTAAATTCAATTGTGTACCTACAAGAAATTAAATGTTGACGTCTTTGATATCCCATAGCTATCAATCAAGACTCTTTAAATTTACCTTAAAAATATCAAAAAATAAATAAAACCAAATTAAAGTTCAAATTCATTTTTCATCGAGCATCGATTCATATATTTTTTTTTATAAATTATGTTATATATATTTTCTAAAAAATCATACATAGACAGACACACATAAACATATACACAGAGATACACGCATACATATACACAAAAGTATCTTAGTTTTATTATTATTTTTTTAAAGAAATTATTAACCTCTTAACAATATCATTTATCGACTAAGTGGTTTTACTTTCATTACACTAGGATTATCTCTAATAACCAAGCTGGTTAATCGTGGTAATGGGGTTAGCCATAGGAGAACGCTCGAAGCTGATAGAATATAAGGAGGTCAATGCACATAATTAACCAAGTTAGTTAATCAAGATCGAAGATACCCTGCCGATCGTCGATAATATCGAACCGATACTAATTGTAAGTTCAATAATCCACGTAGCAGAGCAAACCGTAAAATCGAGTTTGCCGATCGGTTTGATGATCGTTTCTCCAATACGCAAGGATAGCCTAAATGCGAATTCATTTCGACTTAATGGCCCGAACGTGAACCGGTTAATTGATCCAACTCGGCCACGCATCGAAATACCTAGTATCGATCTGCAAATGAAATTCGATTAAGAAAATTTCTCGAATTTGATAACCCGTATCACTAAACCATTATAATCGATTTAGTTTAAAAGAGAACATTCGAAAAGAAATCTTTCGTCGAATTTTTTTTCCCTTTCGTATTAGAATCGTACGAACTATTAGATATATAAATTAAAGTTAAATCCTTCTGATACTTTTTCATAATCATGAAACTAAAAATGATGTTTCTTATATTGCATTTCAATAGCCATTAATTAAGAACTTTCCGATCGTACGACTAATCGACATTTAAAAAAAGGTGCCATCATCTGTACGATTCTAACGATATAAAGGTCAAATAATATCCATTTATATTCGATATATTTGTTGAATCATTGATAAACCTGTTATAGTTATTTCCAAAGCTTCTTGTTAAACTTTTTTCACTACACTTTTTTTTTCTGTGCGTAACGTTTCAGACGAACGTAATATAACTTTCAAACTTTCATTTCGCCAACTATCAAAGTGAGATAACGTTTGTTCTATAAAAAAAAAAGAAAAAAAAAAAAAAAGAGAACAGAAAAACCAGAAAAGCCAATAAAATGAAAATTTTCCAACAAGTTCGACAACTCAAAGAGAAAGAAGATAAGGGGATGCTTAGCCAACATCTAATGCCAATTCATTTGGATTTAATGGCCCATACGAAAACCGGCAAGAGCAATTGGCCGCGTCCAACAACGTCGAAACACACATTTCCGCTTTTACGTGCGTTCCATCGATGATCTTTCTGGGAAATCGCACAATGCGAATTTGGAGAATGCAGGGTGTATAGATGAACGATTGTATGTGCTTTCCTCCTCCTGTTCGATCCGAACATGACTAAATCGTGCGTATTTGGTATCCTCGTAAAATGTTAGAATTTCGTTGTACCTACACGATATATAACGTAATATCAAAATAAAAAAAAGGAAAAATTCATATGTCGTAAATCCTTTCGTGATATATGTCGTGATATTAATCGTATATACTTTCATATTTATTTCCAATTTTTTTATCGTTTATCAAAATACATCAAGACTTATTATTAAAGTCTAATAATGATTCGATGTTTAATTGGTTATCATTAATACGTAACGAATGAATCGTTTTTCAAATGTTTTTATAAAAAAAAAATTTCTTTTTTCTCTCTCTCTCTTCAATTTCATCGGATATTTTCTTACATACAAAAAAAGAAAAAAAAACAAAAAAAAAGAAAACAAATAAAAAATTATTGTCGACAATTATAATATTAAAGAAGATATAACAACAATTATTTACAAGATATTCCTTTAAGTTTTTTTATATCGAGATTAATCGAGATAAACGTCGATCGAACATTGAACTAGCTCGATTGCCTTCGGCAACCGACCCGAGCT